CTGAGATAATTTCAAATGATTGCTATAGATAGATAGATAGATAGATAGATAGATAATAGATAGATATGAATAGATATTTGATATATATAGATAGATAGATAGATAGATAGATAGATAGATATGAACAGACTATAGATAGATACAAACAAGATTAATTAAACTATATAATAGAGAAAAAAAAATTAAATGCGTAAAAAATGAATGATTAGTAATCTTGTGTGTGTGTTAGATTGTAATTATGTTTTCTTTTTTTAATTATTCTTGAGTTATTTTGATAAAAACTTCAGTAAATATGTTTTGTGTGTTTGTGTGTGTGTTCATTATGCGAGAGAGATTTCAAGAGAGAGAGATTAGGGAGACAGAGACAGACAGACAAAAAAGAGGGGGCTTATTTCAGAAAGATACATTAAAATAAATTTTTTGACAATTTTTATTATGCTAGATGATAATTTTGTATAGGATCAATCTTGAGGTCATTTCACTTTATTAAAATTTTAGTTCAATAATTAAAACATCGATGAAACAAATTTATTTTTGTTTTTTCAATTGATTTGTTTATTTTTTGTTTTATTTTATTTTATTTTATTTTTTTTTTATTTTTTTTTTTTTGACATATACTATCCTTAATATAATTAACACGACAAGAAATCGATGTTCAGAGATACTGAAAAAATGCAATGGTCTTGGTTTGAAAATTTGTGCATCTATTTATAAAAAACATATATTCTACATTTAACTATTTTATTATTACATTTCTCCTGAATCTATGAAACCCGGCAATAGCAAAAGATTACATCTCAATTTTTATTGTAGTATTCATATAAAATACAAATTTTTATTTTAACAATTATGTACAATAATGGATCATATGCTTTGGATAGGTGAACAATTCAATTAGAAAAATTGAAAATAAATAAAATGTATTATCAAATACAAATTAGAGACATGTCATAATAGATGATTCCATCTTAAATAAATCAATAATTTTTGGCAATATTTAACATCAAATTTTTTCATAGAAAACCATAATACACAGGGTTTAATCCAAGGTTTCATGGACAAAATATGATATGAATAAATTTTCTAAGTCATACGCATTTTACTACATCTCAATTTTCATAAGGTAGTATTTAAATAAAATACAAATTTTATTGTAACCTAATTATGTACAATAATGGATCATATGCAATATAGGTGAACAATTCAACTAGAAAAATTGAAAATAAATACAATGTATCTAAATACAAATTAGAGACATGTCAATAATAGATCATTCCATCTTAAATAAATCAACAATGTTTTGCAGCAATTTTTAACATCAACTTGAGATTTTTTTGTTAAAAAAGTTGAATAATTTTAAACATTTTTATTATGGATAAAAAAAAAGTGAATTTTTTTGTTTTTTTTTTTTATATTGAAAAACAAATTGAAAATTTGGATTTGAAAAAATTTTAAAAAAAATGATGAAATGTAATTTATGTGAAATTGTTTTAAAATTTCATTTGTTTTTAAAAAAAAAAAAAATGAGCGAATTTTAATGAAGGTAAAATTTAAATTTTTAAAATCCCAATCAAAAAAGCAACCCGTGGTATTTGAAAAAAAATTTTCCGGCCCTGTTTAATTATTTAAAATAAAAATTGTTAAATTTATAAATTTGTTTTGCATTTAAATTTAAAAGGCATAAACATGTTTTTTTTTTAAAAAGATGTAAATTATTTTTTAATAAATTATTACGATTCGTTAAAAAAATTTTGAAACTTAAAAATTATTTTCCTCAAATCCTTAAATTAAAATTTTTTGATTTCCATTTCTTTATATCTTCCCCAAAAAAGGAAATAACGGCGAAAAAAAGAAAAAATTTTTTATCTGCATTATTTTTGATTTTGGTTTTAAAACGTATTTGATGTTTGTTTTTCATCCCATGATGAATTAATTTTTAAATATTGTGGTTGGAGAATGAAAATTAAACAGATTCAATGGTTGGTTATGTTCGTTGGAAAATTTGAAAAAATGTGAAGAATACAATTATTTGAACATCTGGAGATAATGATCGTTTGGGTCAAAATTTTTTTTCATATTTGTAAATAAAAATTTATGTTATTTATGATTCAAAAAACAAACAAAAAAAAATTTGATAAAGGATCCAAAAATATAACCTCTAATCATACTTGGTGAATTTGATAAATGAACAGTAATGAATGACAAAACTATTCGTCTTCTGCGTGAGTGCAGTGAATCTGCGTGTGATATATTGAATGTTTGTATGTATATTATCAATGTGTGTTATGTGTTGAAATTGAAAACAATTATTAAGCAACGACAAAAGTTGAAACGTTTTATAATAGACGTTTTTATTTTTCATAAATTTACAAAATCTTTTTCCTCGGCACTGTGATTACCAAAAAGAAAATTTTAATTTTTTGAACCAAAAGATAAATGAAATAAAAAAAAAAAAAAAAAAATAACACAAGAAGAAAAAGAAAAAAAAGAAATCAAAAAAAATAACATATTAGAAAAAACAAAAAATTATAGGAAAAAATGAGAAAAAAAAAATATTGAGAAAAAAACATATTTTAAAATGGTCATATTGTTTTAAAGAAAAGTAAAATATATAGAAAATATTTTATTTTTATATATAATATTTTTCTCATCATAATGATTAATATATTATATATATATAAAAAAAAAAAATAATTTCCGTCTAAACAATGTAATTTTAATTTATTCAAAAGATTGATTTTAAACAATCAGATCTTATATTTGCAAGAAATAATATTTATTATGTTAAAAAAATGGTTTATAAAATAATACTTTAATAATTAAAAATTTCAGGTAAAATAAAAGCAAAATGTCATTTTTTTGAGCTCAACTGACGAACGAGGAAATTTTAATCAAAAAAGTAAATAAAGAATGTTTTTAAAAAAAAATTTTAAAAGAAACCTCATTTTATATTTAAAACAGCTTTGTTTATTTTAATAATATAAACAATTCTAATATTGATAATTTTGATTCGACAGTTGATGTTAAATTATCATATTTTTTTTTTTAATGTTATCTCAAAATAATTTAACATATTTTCGGGAAATTTGTTTATCTTCCGAAAAAGGAGTTACATTTAAATTTTATTTAATTTAAAAAAAAAATTTTATATTATTCAGGTATTTATTTTTTTATTTATTTTTTTGAATTTCAAATTTTTTTTTTTGTATTTCTGTTTTTCAAACAAAAGAAAAGTTTTAAATAAAAAAATAATTTTTATTAGATTTGATATTTTAATTTATAAAAAATTAATTTGTTCATATAAATTTATGTTTTTAAAAATTCAGACGCAAAAATAACACGCGTACAAAAAATATTTATTTTCTGAATGGTTAATATATATATATATATATATATATATATATATATATATATATATATATATTAAATAGATAATAGATAGATTTCATAATTTAAATTTTGGAAATTTATTGATACATATGAAAAATATATAAAATATAAATACATATATATATATATATATATTTATATTTGAAAAAAAATTACAAAAATTTAGAAATTTATTAACTATGTCCAGGACAGAGTAAGGATATAATAAAAATTTCTTAAAAATAATATTCCATTGTCATAATTTATTCCATTGAATCATAAATATTCCAATTCATTTTTCTACAATATATATATATATATATATATATATATATATATATATATATATATATAAAAATTTTTTTTTTTCATTTGGAATATGGTTTTATTCAAAAAAATAAAATATAATAAATAATATTTAAACAAAGCTGTAAATTTATATTGAGGACAAAAATTCTTTTTAAATGAAATATCAATAATTTTTTTTTTTACATATTTTAAATCTGTTCTTCCCTTTTTTAAATAAAATATATATATATTATTTTAAATATACAAATAAAGTTCAACAATTTTTTACATTTTTTATTTTTTTTAAATAGATACAAATATTTAAAAAATTTTAAACGAATATTTTCCAATTAATTCAGGCAAAATTTTGTTTTATTCTGTAAACATTTTAAGTTAAATTAAATATTTATAAAAAATGATCAAAAAAACATCCTAAAAAAAATTATATATATATATTTATTCATAATTTTTATCATTAAATTTGTTTTAATTTTAAGCTTTATTTTTTTTTTTAATTTCCTATTCATTTATTCAATTCTTTGTTTTAAATGTATTTAAACACAGCTCCAAAAGAATCAGAAATTTAAATAAATAAATATATAAATAAATTTTTTTGAAATAAAAATTTAAAAAATAGAATTCATAAAAAAGTAAATTATCTATGTTTTTTAAAAATAAATTCAATAATGGATGTATAATAATAAAAAATTTAAAACTAATACATTTTTATGTTACGAACAATAATTAAATTTTTTTAATAAACGAAAATTAACAGGGCTTTTTCACTCTGGGTATATATATGACGCAGAATTCATTTAAAAAAAGTCAAAATAAAAAATCTTGATAATTTATTTTTAGCATTTCTGAAACTCGAAATGCAAAATTTTGGACAGTTTTCTTAAAATTTGTGTTCAAAAAAAAAAAAAACATTTGGACGGATATCAGAAATTTAAATAAAAAACTTTATCGCAATATATATTGATATATATATCTTATATAAACATATATATAAGATATATATATATATATATATATATATATATATATATATATATATATATATATATAATTATTATGAATTCATTCATTCATACAAAAAACAAATATAGAGGTTAATGATTTAAATGGCGAGAATACATCTTCGCAAACAATTTCAATAAGATACACTAACCCCGAACCTGTATATGAATGATATGATCCCTGTTTATAAATTCCAGTTGCATAAGGTCTTTTTAATTTTTACAAGCTTTCGTCTGTTCCTACAGACATCCTCAGGTATGGAAATAGATTTTGTTCTTGTTTTTTACTTCTCATTAATAAGAGGACAACGAAAATATGGATGT